GGAGTGTGCGTTCGCGGCATGTTTTCTTCTTCGAAGGGAGCGCGCATCGGAGGAGCACGGCCCTGGACCTGCTTCTACAACGACGCGAAGATCGGGACAAACTCGGATCGGGATAGCTCGAAACCTCTGAGAATCGGCGGGTCTGGAGGGTGTATTGGGCGCCGCGGCCGCTCCAGAGCGTTCCGGAACGCTCTGAGAGCGCTCCGGAACGCTCTGGAGCGATTTATCCCGATCCTAGCCCTGTTTTAGCTTCGCTCGCTTCGGGCCCTTGGGGCCCTCCCCAGGGCCGTCCAGGCAGGGTGAAGTTCCGGCCCTGGGGACACGAGCCCAGGGTCCAGGACCACCTTCCCTCGGGACCTCAGGGGCAACGTGGGGGAGGGGCTGGCGCGCAAGGGGGAAGGCATCGTCCTGGAATCGGCGGTGCATCGCCGATAGCGAGACCGTCAGCAGGTTCCTGAGCGGGGTGGGCCATCGGGCCCGTCTCGGCGATCAGTGGGCGATTGGGGCTCGGTGCGTCCTCTCTGGGACAGGCGCGTTCCACTACTCGCAAAAAGCAACTACTCGCAGATGGCCTGGATCCGCCGCTGGGGGGCACGGTACATGACGTGGAGGAAGACATATACTCTGGTTTCGGACGCTTGCGAGTAGGCACTGTGCGAGTAGTGGAACGCGCCCGGTGATCTCTTGAGCCCATCCCTCCCTAACGTTCGGGTGTTGCTAGAAGTGCCCCTGGCCCAAGTTGCGCCCAGGATTTCCAGGGAGGCCCCCACGGCCTCCAGAGCTCCCGTCGCGATGCCCAGAAGGCCCCAGAGTCTCCAGAATTGAGCGAAAAGCCGGGGGCACCTTGGGCCAGGGGCACCTTCGCAAACCAAGAACCGCTGCCCCTGATTGAGAAGAAGAAGAGCGGCATAGACAGAAACTGCTGGCGCTCCGCCCGCAGCGCCAACAATTTATGCCTGTGGCGTTGTTCCTTCTGGGACGATTCCTTAGAGGCGACGTCGGGGAGACGCGCTGCCGCCGTCGGTTGTTGCTGAAGGGGCCCCAGGACACACAAATAAATACACACAAATAAACAGATTCCCCATATTTTCCTGTAGTTTCTAGGTTTTTGTCTTCCCCCCACTTCCTATATTTTCCAATTTTTTCCTGGGAATCGACGATGAATTGTGTCTGTGTGTTTCTTTCCCTCCTGAGTTGCCTCGGGTCGAGGCCTCGGCGACGGCGGCGGGCCCGCAGACGCGGGCCCCTCCCAGGGGGGGCCTCCCCTCGCCATCGCTGGCACGTCCGCCCCCACTTGCTTTTTGTTTCGATGTGCTGCGTGTCCTTACTTTTCGCAGGATGGTCCGAGATGCCCCTCGATTGAAGGGGCCCAAGGACACACAAATAAATACACACAAATAAAAGGATTCCCCATATTTTCATATATTACCTAACAGCGAAGACTGATAGGTTTCTAGTTGACTCAAAAGAGCTCACAGATCACTCCACAGGGGGGTCCGGGCGGGTGCCGGACAGGGTGCCGCAGAAGTCGTTTTAAGCAAACAGTCACACACTTCGTGCTCTTCGACCTCCCAGAACTCCATTCCCGGGCCACATTCTGAATGCCCGGAGCCAACTGTAAGCCACTTCGTGCTCTTCGACTTCCCAGAACTCCATTCCCGGGCCGCATTTTGAATGCCCGGAGCCAACTGTAGGCCACTTCGTGCTCTTCGACTTCCCAGAACTCCATTCCCGGGCCACATTTTGGATGCCCGGAGCCAACTGTAGGCCACTTCGTGCTCTTCGACTTCCCAGAACTCCATTCCCGGCCCACATTTTGAATGCCCGGAGCCAACTGTAGGCCACTTCGTGCTCTTCGAGTTCCCAGAACTCCACTCCCGGGCCACATTCTGAATGCCCGGAGCCAACTGTAGGCCACTTCGTGGTCTTCCAGTTCCCAGAAGAATCCCATTCCTGGCATGATTTTTGAATGCCTGGAGCAACGTAGCAACTTCGTGTTTCTAGTTCCCAATAACTCCATTCCTGGGCCACATATTGAATGCTGAGGCATGCTGATGCTGCGGCCGAGGCAGGCTGAGGCTGAGGCAGCCTGAGGCTGAGGCCGAGGCTGAAGGCAGACTGAGGCTGAGGCTGAAGCAGACTGAGGCTGAGGCTGAGGCAGGCTGAGGCTGAGGCTGAAGCAGGCTGATGCTGTGCAGGCTGAGGCTGAGGCTGAGGCTGATGCAGGCTGAGGCTGAGGCAGGCTGAGGCTGAGGCCGAGGCTGAAGGCAGACTGAGGCTGAGGCTGAAGCAGGCTGAGGCTGAGGCTGAGGCAGGCTGAGGCTGAGGCGGGCTGAGGCTGAGGCTGAGGCAGGCTGAGGCTGAGGCTGTGACTGCGACTGCCGTTGCCGCTGCGACTGTCATCGCGAATGCGACTACGACTGCGAGAACAGCAGAATTCTACAACTGGATTTTCATCTGAATCTTAAGGGGAATGCGTTCAGATATGCTTCTACACATCGCTGTTAGGTTGCTTTGCCGGGATAATTTTTAGTCGTTTCTGTCTCCCCCCTATTTCCCTATACCTAACAGCGAAGACTGATAGGTTTCTAATGGGCTAAAAAGAGAGCAGCAGATGACTCCACAAGGGGGTCTGGGCGGGTGCCGGACAGGGTGCCGCAGAAGTCGTTTTAAGCCAACAGTCACACACTTCGTGCTCTTCGACCTCCCAGAACTCCATTCCCGGGCCACATTCTGAATGCCCGGAGCCAACTGTAGGCCACTTCGTGCTCTTCGACTTCCCAGAACTCCATTCCCGGGCCACATTTTGAATGCCCGGAGCCACCTGTAGGCCACTTCGTGGTCTTCGAGTTCCCAGAACTCCATTCCCGGGCCAGATTTTGGATGCCCGGAGCCAACTGTAGGCCACTTCGTGGTCTTCGAGTTCCAGTCTTCCTTTCCCGGGCACATTTTATGCCCTGGGGGGGGGGGAGGGGGTTGTCCGGGGGAGGGGGGGAGCTACTCTAGGCCACTTCGTGCTCTTCGAGTTCCCAGAACTCCATTCCCGGGCCACATTTTGAATGCCCGGGGCCAACTGTAGGCCACTTTGTGCTCTTCGACTTCCCAGAACTCACTTTCCTGGGCCACATTTTGAATGCTGAGGCAGGCTGATGCTGCGGTCGAGGCAGGCTGGGGCTGAGGCAGGCTGAGGCTGAGGCCGAGGCTGAAGGCATACTGAGGCTGAGGCTGAAGCAGACTGAGGCCGAGGCTGAGGCAGGCTGAGGCTGAGGCTGAGGCAGGCTGATGCTGAGGCAGGCTGAGGCTGAGGCTGAGGCTGAGGCGGATGCAGGCTGATGCTGAGGCAGGCTGAGGCACAGAGGCTGAGGCTGAAGGCAGACTGAGGCTGAGGCTGAAGCAGGCTGAGGCTGAGGCTGAGGCAGGCTGAGGCTGAGGCAGGCTGAGGCTGAGGCTGAGGCAAGCTGAGGTTGAGGCTGTGACTGCGACTGCCGTTGCCGCTGCGACTGTCATCGCGAATGCGACTACGACTGCGAGAACAGCAGAATTCTACAACTGGATTTTCATCTGAATCTTAAGGGAATGCTTTCAGATATGCTTCTACACATCGCTGTTAGGTTGCTTTGCCGGGATAATTACCTAACAGCTCTTGCTGATAGGTTTCTAGTGGTCTCAAAAGAGAGCATCATGACTCCTCAGGGGGGTCGGGGCGGGACCCGGGGCGGGACCCGGCGCGGCTGCCGCCGCACTCGTTTTTCGCAAACAGTCACACACTTCGTGCTCTTCGACCTCCCAGAACTCCATGCCCGGAGCCAACTGTAGGCCACTTCGTGCTCTTCGACTTCCCAGAACTCCATTCCCGGGCCACATTTTGGATGCCCGGAGCCAACTGTAGGCCACTTCGTGCTCTTCGATTTCCCAGAACTCCATTCCCCGGCCACATTTTGGATGCCCGGAGCCAACTGTAGGCCACTTCGTGCTCTTCGATTTCCCAGAACTCCATTCCCGGGCCACATTTTGGATGCCCGGAGCCAACTGTAGGCCACTTCGTGCTCTTCAAGTTCCCAGAACTCCATTCCTGGGCCACATTTTGAATGCCCGGGGCCAACTGTAGGCCACTTTGTGTTCTTCTACTTCCCAGAACTCCGCTCCTGGGCCACATTTTGAATGCTGAGGCAGGCTGACGCTGCGGCCGAGGCAGGCTGAGGCTGAGGCAGGCTGAGGCTGAGGCCGAGGCTGAAGGCAGACTGAGGCTGAGGCTGAAGCAGACTGAGGCTGAGGCTGAGGCAGGCTGAGGCTGAGGCTGAAGCAGGCTGATGCTGAGGCAGGCTGAGGCTGAGGCTGAGGCTGATGCAGGCTGAGGCTGAGGCAGGCTGAGGCTGAGGGCGAGGCTGAAGGCAGACTGAGGCTGAGGCTGAAGCAGGCTGAGGCTGAGGCTGAGGCTGAGGCTGAGGCTGAGGCAGGCTGATGCTGAGGCAGGCTGAGGCTGAGGCTGTGACTGCGACTGCCGTTGCCGCTGCGACTGTCATCGCGAATGCGACTACGACTGCGAGAACAGCAGAATTATACAACTGGATTTTCATCTGAATCTTAAGGGGAATGCTTTCAGATATGCTTCTACACATCGCTGTTAGGTTGCTTTGCCGGGATAATCCTATATTTTCCTGGCACTCGACGATTAATTGTGTCTGTGTTTTTTTCCCTCCTGATTTTTTTCGCAGGATGGTCCGAGATGCCTCTCGATGGTCCTCGCCGCCCCCCAACAAGAATTAGCGACGCGCGCAAGGGGGCCAAGGGGAGGCGGGAAGGCTCCTTAGAGGGAGACTGCTTCTCAGAAGGCGCCGGCTTCACATCCATAGACGAGGCCCCCACGCCTTCTGAGAAGCAGGGGTGCTTCTGAGCAGCCGTCCCCCCTGCCCTCGGCCCCCTCCTGCGCGTGGCCGAAAAAACGCCCACGTCCGAGCGATGCCGAGTCCAGAGCGCGCGCCCCTCCCCTGGCGCGGGGCCTCTCCCCGCGCAGGGCCCTGCGCTGCCGGAAGCGCAGGGCGGCCTCCCCTAAGGCCCTCTCTGCCGCTGCCGCCGCCGGCTGCCGCCGGTGCCGGGCGCCGCTGGCTGCAACCCGCCGCCGCCGCTGCTGCTCGGGGATCGACCTACAGTGGATGCCAGTCCACAAGAACCCTTCCTCAAGAAACCCAACCCTGAGACCCCAGGGCGTCCATGGGTTTTTAATGGGGGAGCGTCACGCTTTCCATCGCAAAACCTTCGAAGCCCAAGAAGCCCAGGGCGCCCTGGAGGCAAGCAAGGTCTTTCTTGGCACGGGTCTCCACTGTAGACGGCTACAAGCATTAGTGGCCCTGGGCAAGGGTGGCCTTTGGTGCGCGGCTTGGGACCAAGCACGAGCGCGCGAGAGACGCTACTACCGTGTCGCCTGTACCACAGGTCACCCTGGCAAAAGGTCACTCTTACGTGTGATCGACCTAAACACATCCAAACACCTGCCATCGCTCGGACGTCCACTCCCTGTGCATTTTGTCGGTTTCGTGCGTGCATGCGTGCGTGCGTGTGTGTGTGTGTGCCTGTTCCGCAAGATGACCCAAGATGCTCCTCGATGGTGCTCGCCGAGAAAAAATACACACGTCCGAGCGATGCCAAGAACAACGTTATTCGTTTTCGTTTTGCTTTCGTTTTCCCTCGTTTTGTCTTCGGGGTCCGCACTTGCTGCAAAAACCGAGGTCGAAACGAAAACGACCCACGAGCTCGCCAAAACACTGTTTACGGTCGACCCTGCTGCTGCTGCTGCTGCCACTCCGCCCACCCCATCATCTTCTCCCTCCTCTCCTCCTGTGCCTCCTCTTCTCCCTGCCGCCTTCCCCCCCTCTCTCGTCCGCCTGCGCTTGCCCTTCCTCGCCCCAGTCCCGGCGCGCTCGGACGTGCAGGTGCTGCCCCTTCCTTTCCACTCCCCCTCCTTCACCTCCCTCCACATCCACCTCATCCGCCACCTCCTCTTCCTCCTCCTTCTCCACGGGAGAGACAACCGCCCAGCGGGCGTCAGGGGGCATGCCCCCAGCGTCTCAAGCAACGCACACTAGGTGGTGATTACCAGTCTGTGCAGACCCCATGTAAACGTAACGGTGGCTGTGCCCAAACTTCGGCAAGGCTGGTGACTTTCATTGTACGGGGCACGTTTGAGGAAATGTGCCATGCAACCGAATGCCGTCTAGCTGGCAATATAGAAAGGAAATTGTTTTGATTCGAGCGTGAAGGACAACAAGCATTGCTTCGCTTCAGGTACATGGCAGCCAGTATACGTATCAAGCGATAGAGAAGCGAAGAAAACTGCATTCCCTTGACGTCCGAAACAAATTTCAGCAGGCTGTTACTTGTCAGACGAGGGCGAAACCTAACGGCGCATCGCCAACCCGATCGGTTTTCCCGTTTTCCCATATGTTCCCAAAGCTAGGACATACTTTGGGCATCGGCTCTGCATATCCTTGCCGCTGGCCTGGTGTACAATCTTGTGTACGTGGTAGCTTCGAGCTCATCCCGATGTCATGTATCCACATGTCTGCTCACCGAGCCGATCCGATCTGGACAGACGGTGGTGGTTGATGGAGTTGGTCTTAAATCTCCCTGCCTTCTCTTTCCATGCGCACCCTACAGACGTCCGCGCTGGTGTCCCACCCCAGCCGCTGCGTTCGCTCCCTACTCGCCCCCTCCTCCTCCTCCTCCTCCTCCTCCTCCTCCTCCTCCTCCTCCTGCTATCCTGTGCCTCCCTTTTATTATCCCAGACCCCCTCCCCTTCCACCCTCTTATCCTCCCCCCCCTCCCCCTGCCCTTCGCCGTCCCCCCCCTCTCAATCAATCCCCACCCCTATCCCCGTTCCTCCTCTTCCCCCCTTCTTTCCCTCCAGTCTGTTATCCCTGACTCTTTCCCCTTCCCCTTTCCCCCCCTCCCCCTTCTCCCTCTTCCTCCCCGCCCCCAGCTTCCCCGCGTCCCCATCGCCTTACCTCCCAGCCCCACCCTCTGTGCCCGTCGCCTCCCGATGCGCCGCCCCCTCGTCGCCTTCGCGTGCCGCTGGAACTTGCTGGGGGAGGAGGCCAAGCTCCTCAGGACCAGCTCGAGGCTCCCCTGCCAGATGCCGGCAGGACATCGTCGTCGTCGTCGTCGTCGTCGTCGTCGTCGTCGTCGATGTCTTCGTCGTTGTCCTCGTCTTCGTCGTCGGTGCGGGGCCCGTCGTCAACGTTAACGCCAACGTCAACGTCAACGTCGTCGGCATCGGCCTCGGCGCCAACCTGAAAGTCAATGTCGTCAACGTCGTCGTCTTGGCTCTCGTCTTGCCTCCTCCTCCTCCTCCTCCTCCTCCTCCTCCTCCTCCCCCTCCCCTCCCCCTCCCTCTCGTACCCTTCTTCTGCTCTCTTCGTGCTGTCTTTCTTCGACTTGCTGCCGCGTGCCTCGGGGGCGCGGAAGCCAGGGGCTCGGGAGGGGGGGGGCGGAGGAGGGGAGGGGGGCTGGGAGGGGACGAGGAGGAGGAGGAGGAGGAGGAGGAGGAGGAGGAGGAGGAGGAGGATAAGAAGATGGAGGAGGAGGAGGAGAGTAGAAGGAGGAGGAGGAGGGAGGAGAGGAGGGGATGGATGAGAGGAGGAGGAGGAGGAGGAGTGGAACGGGCCCCGCGAGTGCCATTCGCCACGTGGCGAGATTGTCGGAGAGAGCCATGGTTTGCTCTGTGTTCGTCGGTCAGACAAGTCGGCATGCCTCGCGTCGACTGCGCATGCCTGCATCACGCCCTGTCAGCGCGCAAGGGGGGGAAGGGGGGGGGAGGAGGAGGAGGAGGAGGAGGAGGAGGAGGAGGAGGTGGAGGAGGAGGAGGAGGAGGAGGAGGAGGAGGAGGAGGACGATGAGGATGAGGAGGAGGAGGGCGAACAAAATGTACAGAGGAGGCAACGGAAGAAGGGCGACAAACATGGAGGACCTGCAGCGGGAAAGGAAGAGGGAAGGCCCTGGGGGAGGAACGAGCAGGGGGACGCCGGGGAGGGCGGGCGGGCGCGAGGGCGGAGTGGGCGAGAGGGGGGGGGGGTTGGCGAGGCGGGGAGGGGCGAGGAGGCGGGGCGGCGAGGAGGGCTCCTCCTCGACGCCCCGCCACCCGAGAGGCCCAGGGCGGCGCCTCCGCCTCCGCGGCCGCATCGACGACGAGCAGCCCCATCGCGGCACGGGGCCCGCGGCGCGGGCGCGCGGCGGCCGCGGCCGTCGCGGGCGCGCGGCCGGCGGGCTGTGGGGGGGGGTCCGACGGCGGGCCCCCCTTGGAAGGAGGGCCGCGCGGCAGGATGGGGGGGGGGGCGGAGGAGGGTGAGGAACCGAACTCAAAATGCAGCGGCGCTCTTTCCGGCCCTGCCCCGAAGCCTGCACAGGGAAGCGGATCCTGGTGTGCGCGGGATCCTGGTGCACACGTTTTTTGGTCGCCTCCTCGGGACACGGAAACAGCAAGTACACACCGCACCACCCCGACGTCGTCCCCGACCCTCAAGGAGTCCTGGCACTGAACTGTCGCCCGCCACTGGTGATGCACGTGCTCCCGTTTCCGAGACTGGGCGAGGGTGCAGGGCCGGCGGGGGCGAGAAGGAGGGCGGGCGCCGGGGCTCGGCCACAACGGTGCGTCTCGTCCTCGTGCTGTTTCTTCGCTCCCCCTCGTCTTGTCCTCGCTCCGCCTTCGCTGGAGAGTGAAGCCAAGACGAAAACGGCCCACGAGATCGCCCAAAACACCGTTGACAGGTCGAGCCTGTCCCCCTACAGGGGGACCTTCGACGAAAAATTAAGACATACCCCAAAAATGATCAACCAAAACAGTCCGGGGACTATTCTTTGACCTTTTTGGGCTATTTTTTTACCTTTCGTCGAAAATCCCCCTGCAGGGGGACAGGCCCGACATAAGTCGTCGGGGACCTGCTGACCCGGGTCAATCCAGACCTGGGTCAGTCAGGCCTTGCAGAGTCCTGCAAGATCCTGCAGCATCCTGCACCCAAGCCCGGGTCAATGCGAAGGATCCTGCAGGATCCTGCAGGATCCTGCACCCAAACCCGGGTCAATGCGACCCTGGCCCTGCAGGATCCTGCATGGTCGGGGCGCTCTGGCTGACCCCCGTTTGCGTTGACCCCCGTCTCGAGGCTCCCGAAGTCGAGCCCTGGGGGGCGCCGGAGGCGAAGCCTCCGCTGGCTCCTGGGCGTTTTCCTACCTCGGGGGGGTCCTCCGGCAGCTGCGCCTCGCCCAGGGCTCTGCGCGGGGGCCCAGGTCGTCCCGAGCGGCCCCCAAAAGGCCCCGAGGTGCGGCCCGAAGACCACCGGGCGCGGAGGAGGAGAAGGTTTCTCAGAAGCCCTATCCTCCTCCTCCTCCTCCTCCTCCTCCTCCTCCGCCTCCTCCTCCTCCGCCTCCTCCGCCTCCTCCTCCTCCGCCTCCTCCTCCTCCCCTCCTCCTCCTCCTCCTCCTCCTCCTCCTCCTCCGCCTCCTCGTCCTCCTCCGCCTCCTCCTCCTCCGCCTCCTCCGCCTCCGCTTCCTCCGCCTCCTCCTCCTCCGCCTCCTCCTCCTCGGACGTACCTGGGGGATGACTGGGTCAGCTCCATCACACTTGCGGGGCGCCTACCGCCACAGCTGGTACCTCACAGAGGAGGCAAGAGCGCGGGCACGGCATTCAGGAAGATGGTCAATTTCGGCCCTGTGAGCGTTGATGGTGTTGAAGAGGAGGGTAGCAGCGGCAGGCAGCAGGAGGCTCTCGGCCGAGGGGGAGGAGAGACCAAGTCGCTCGATGGGGCATCCTGGGAGCACTCTCTTCTGGAGGACCAGCGCTAAAATGGCCAGGAACCGAGGGCAAGACCAATAGTGTGGCAAACTGTCAGAGCTGGATGATATTCCACATGGCACACAGCCTAGAACACAGAGGGCAGGCTTCTGAAAGCGAGCCTCCGTCGTCCATCCGTTGACGAGGAGTTTCAAAATCGCATTCGACTGAACTGGTGGAAGCTTCAAGAGACAGTGCTGGGTTTCGGACCAGGGCCAACCGACGAGGGTCTCCAGGGATATCGGGAGCCAGGCATTTAATCGCTTGCAGAAAATACCGACCAATGGGTCGGGAAACCGAACTTCTAGGAGTGTCAGGGCGAGCTATCCCTGGATCTTCGCACGGCGATTCGGGGGAGGAGGAGGGAGCGAGGTGACGGCAGAGGTGGCAGCAGCAGCGAGGAGCTCACGAGCGGGGTGGGAGGAGGTGACTAGATCTTGCCCAATGTTGGCAGGAAAGCAAGCTGAGGCGGAAGACAGGAATTCCGCGAATGATGGCTGGCACCAGAACGAGGGAGACAGAGAGCCAGCAGCACGGGAGGGGAGAGGCAGACATCGGTCCGCGGTTTCACGGAGAGAGGCAAGGACGGTTGGCCAGCTCTGGAGTGTGGTGGCACTGGATCTCAGGAGAGTGGCCGAAGACAGTATGAGAGCGCTTGGGAACTTCGGCCCTCCCCACCTCCAGAGGTTGAAAAAACCAGCGCGAGAGATCACACAGTGTGGCGAGCGCCACAGGCGGGCAAGAAGCGCGGCCTCACCTGAGAGAATCTCCGCTGGGAGCGGCATGAACTGGGCGACGTACGTCAGGACACTGGTGACCCTTGTCGAGTAGAGCTGAGCCGTCACACGATGTGGCCCTTGTTGTTGTGCAAGGATCAAGCCACGGTCTCTCCATTTCTGGATTGGTGCGCGCCAACTATGAAGATGCACTGCGGGTCCGAGATAAAGACCAAGATATAGAAGTTCTGGAACAATCTTGAAAGAGGACCATGTCGGGATATGGTCGGCGATCCATTGTGCGTATCGGTCGTGAGTCACATCTGAGAATGAGCCGCATAACGGAACAATCTTGCACTTTGTCGGCTTGAGCACAAGGGCAGCCACACGAGCGGCAACCCGAAAGATACGGAAAAAGATCTTGAGCACCCTGATGGTCCTAATGGCAGCACCGACGTCGTCGGCGCAAGCACGAACCAGTCCGAGGGCACGACGATTGATACTCCAGTCGAAATCAAGCATGAACGGGTCCGCGGCCACTGCGAACAAGAAGCCCGAGCCAGGGCAACCTTGCACTATGCCGCTCTGGATGTAGTAGAGCAGCGCAGCGTTTCCATAGACAGAGTTGTTGATAGACGAGGAACACGCATTGGCCGACCAGCATTGGACGCAGCGGTACAGCTCGGCGAAGAACCAACATAGCGCCTCGGGCAAGCCCGCGCGACGGAGAACCAAGAAGAGCCATTGATGGGCCACACTTGGGAAGGCCTGCTGAAAATCGAAACTGACGAGCAGAGGCATGGCTACGGAGACGTCGTCCTGCTGGGAGTATTCCCTCGAGGCCCCATCGAGCTCCACAATGTTGTTCCCAAAGTTCCTGGACGGCACGAACCCCCTCTGAATTTTGCACGCCACCTCTGGGAGAGCACGAGATAGCCGGCGTACGATCGTCCCCGTGATGATTTTGACGTCCGTGTTTTTGAGGCCAAGGGGGCGCAAGTTGCTGGGGGCCCGCACACAGCCTCTGAGAGTGTCCTCGGTCTCGGAGCCTTTGGGGATGAAGACGCCTATCATGTCGTTGAAACCTACCATCATAGCATTTCCACCCAGAACCCACCACATGACCGACAGTAGGACCGATGAGGAGAAAGAGGATCGTTGGTACGCGGCGTATGGGAGACCGTCGGGGCCAGGGGCTGAGTGAGACAGCCTCTGTATGTAAGACTCCATCTGGGGCTTCGTGGGCGGGGTGATGTTAGCGAAATCGATCTTGGGGCAGAATCTATTCAAATACATGTTGGCGGCAGCCTCGTCGATATTTTTGTGTTGGAAGACGGGACCCCAGTGCGTGGCAATCTCGTGGTGCATTTCCTCGGATGACGAGACAATCGGGCCATTTTGAGATCGAATTCCAGTAAGCTCTGTGCGCCGTCCGAATGGCGCCCATATCTTGGCTCGCTGTATGAGCCTCCGAAGCCGCTTCCTGAGCTTCGCACGGGCGTGAGCGGGAGCCTGCTGGGCGTCTGCAGCAGCAAGCTCGCGACGGAGAGAGGACCGGGCGGACTCGGCTTCTGCAAACTGGAGCTCGTCCAGCAGAGTAGAAAAGCGTGCAGGGTCCACGAAACGCACACGTCCCTCCTCAGAGACCTCCAGGATTTCTCGAGCAAATGGATAGCGAAGGAGACGTTCAGCTAACCAACGATCTTGGCGCCATACAGCTCTGGATGAGGAGCGCATAACCAACAACTTCGAAGTGGGGTTCGAGGGTTCGTCCTGGAAGAGCGCGTCCCTGGCGTACCTGGCCCCCTCCTTCAGGACGGTTTTGTACATTTCCAGGGCCAGTGGGGGTGAGAGCTCCGAGATATCAATAGCGGGCCAGGTGGCATCCACATACTTCTGGAACTGCGGGTGTTCAAACAGGTATCTGGGAATCGGCCTGTCGTCCAGGGAAGGGGGAGGTCGAGCACGCAGCGAGGCCAGGATGGGAGCGTGATCTGAGAGGCCCCGTTGTTCTAGTGATTCAGGGAGGTCCCGAACGTCCGAGGTCAGATGTAGCAGAGTAAGGATCCAGCCAGGCCAGGATATGAAGATGCGGTCGATGGCGGATGTGTGTTGGCGAGAGCCATTGTAGTGCGTATTGTCTTGCGGGTCGAGCTCGACCATCGCATTGAAAATCTGCTGCCAAGGTGAGCGGAGCAGCCGGCGGAACTCGGGCGCGGCAGGGTCTTCAGCCAGCCCACCAGGAAGGGGGTGCGCAGGCAGCGGGGCGTCACGCGGAATGTTGAAGTCGCCCGTGACGACGACCAGGTAGTGTTCCGTGTCGCGGCTCGCGATCTCGAGCTCGTGGCGGATGACGCTCAGGATGCGGCTGGTCTGGGCGGGGGTAAGCCCGAAATTGTGGATGTTGAAGTGCGAGATGAAGTGGAGGGAGCCGTTGACGGAGCCGTTGACCGAGCCGAGGCAAATCTTCGTGTGCAGGGCACGCCCCTGCACAAGCACGGTGGAATCGACGTACTTACCATCCCCAGGGAGAGAAGAGATCCTAGGCAGCAGGGTGACCACGCCGCCTTTGTTCAGCTCGGAGAAGAAAGAGTGGTGTGCCTCATACCCCGAGGCTGAGAAGTGTAAGAAGTCGGCTACGTCGAACTCACTGCCATGCGTCTCCTGGAGCGCAATCACTCGAAAGCCCTTGAGCATTGCGCCGAGGTAGGTGGTCTTCAGCGACCGCAATCTCTGATCATGATGAAAGAGAGCTCTCCCATTCCAGGTCCCGAATCCGAACTCAGAAACAGACGCGCGACTAGTAAGTCGGAACCAGTCGTTAAAGGCACCACTGTGCCCCAGAAGAGGAGGAGGCAGCGCCAGAGGAGGGAGAGGCCAGGGCGGCGGTGATGCGGGCCTCCAAGTTCTCGCGGGACATGTTCGCTGCGGTGAGGTTGGTCGTCTCCCACTCGACCAATGTCGGTTCAGAAAGCCTGGGCGTGACCCTGATGAGCGGCTTCCAGTTGGAGCTGATGATGCCCGTCGACTTGTCGGCGTGCAGCTGAGCATTCGGGTAGGTCTCGGACATCGCGCGTCTGGCAAGTTTGGTGGCCAGCTCACGCCGCACCTGGCACAAGTTCTTGTCCGCCGAGACGTAGAGGGGGCTCGACTCCCCCGTGGTAGTTTGTGCCTGAAGGCGACGGAATTCGCCATCTCCCACCCGCATAGCTGATAGGGCTTGTGAAACCATCCTGGAAGACCAACCAGGGGCACCACGAACACGTACGATAAATCTCTTGCCAGCGGGCTGCCCCTCCAGGCGCCAGAACGAATCTTCAAAATTGGCGTCCGCCAGCCAGGGGGTGATGGCGGTGCGGACCGAGGCCATAGTGACGAAAGAGTTGGAGCGGAGGACGAGGACGGAGGGGTCGGTTTTCCGCTCGAAGTTGCTGGAGGCTGCCTCAGGGGAAGGGACGGGGTCGGAGCTTTGGACGAGGAGCAGGGCCTTCTTGAGTTCGGAGATCTCGCCCGCCATGATGTCCATGCGGGTCTGGAGCGTCTTGGTGGTGGCCTCCTGCTTGGCGAGCCGCTGCTCGACCTGGCAGCTGAGTCCCTGCACGTGGACGGTGATAGACTTCTCAAGCGCGGCCATGGCTTGACGCATAGCAGACATGCCTGAGAGGACGCTGGTCTTGGTGCTCTCGACGTAGGCCCGAAGTTCGTCGATGCTCCCAGGAGGAGCGGCAGGAGGAGAGCGGTCATCAGAATCACCCATAGCACCAGCCGGCGGGGTGGCTGAGACGAGCTGGCTCTCGGTGAAGTAGCCGTCGTCGCTGGAAAGCCATGCGGTCTGCGTGGAAGAGAGCTCTGCGGCGGCGGCGGCCGCGGCAGCGACGGAGGAGGCCTGCGCGCGGGCAGAGGCGCCCCCGCCTTTGCCGCGGCCTGCACCAGTGGGGTATGGGTCGGCGGAGCCCTTGCTGTCGGCCTTGCCTTTGGTCTCCACGAGAGTGAATCCCTCCGAAGCAGATGCATGGGCCATGTGAGAAGAGAGACGTGCAAAGAAAGGTGTCCGCCAGCCTCTGACAGCTGGAATGCTCTGAAAGGAGAGCTGCCTCACTCAACCTCGGGCCTGTCCCGAACCTTGAGCCAAAATGGCTTGAGCCAAAATGGCTACGGACCTCCGCCTCCTCCTCCTCCTCCTCCTCCTCCTCCTCCTCCTCGAGCTTTCTGGAAAACCACATGCAGCTTCGGAGATGGACTGGAAAGCTCCTCAGAAGGCCAGAAGCCTTCTGAGCCCGCTGGGAACGCCTGCCAAGAGGGGGAGGACAGAACCTCTCGAATTGCAGGGCTGGTGTGAAGCATGCCGCCTGTCGTCGAAGTACCGGCACAGCAGCTGGCAGATGGCGGGCGGAGGAGGCACTCGCACGGGAGCCGAAGCTCGAGGGAGGGAGGCGGGAGGACGGAGGAGGTGGCAGAAGCGGCGCGGGGGAGGAGCGGCCTCGAACCTCCTCCCTCACACCCTTAAGTCGGGCCTGTCCCCCTACAGGGGGATTTTGGCAAAAAAAATAGCCTACAAATGCCCCAACATGTCAAAACAAATGCTAAAAGAATCGTCCCAGTACCATTTTTTGACTATTGCTGAATATTCCCCCTGCAGAGGGACAGACCCGACTTAATCCTACCCACCCCACTCATCTCCATCCCTTGTTCCTCCTCGTGCCCTCGCTGCTCGCCAGCGCGCGACCGCAAAGGAACATTCCCCGCCCCTGGGGCCCGCGATGTCAGGCGGCGGCCGCCGCCGCCACCCCGAGCGCCCGGAGCCGCGCCCATTTCGCGTGCAGCTCCTCCGGCGCCTCCGGCGCTGCGGTTCGGCCTGCGCCCCGGCAGGGGGGATCCTCCTCCCTTCTCCTCCACATGCTCCTTCTCCTTGCCTCAACCTCTTCCCCCTCCTCTCCCCCCTCCTCTCCCCCTCCTCTCCCCCTCCTCCTCCTTTTCCTCCTCCTCCTCCTCCTCCTCCTCCTCCTCCTCCTCGTCCTCCTCCTCCTCCTCCTCCTCCTCCTCCTACCCCGCCCGTGTCCTCATCCGCCACCGTGCCCCCCTGGCATGTTGAGGCGGGTTAGGCATGGGCCGGCACGGGAACGGAAAGAGGGCTTGAGGAACTTGCCCGAGAGGGCTCATAGCACCATTCCCTCCTGGGAGCCCTGGGGTTAAAGAGCTTGTTCGCGTCACCACTCGCTCTTGGGATTGTTGGTATGACCAGTTGTTTCACGTCATCGTTCGCTCTTGAGTGCCTTGGCGCGAAGAGTTTTGCACGTCACCGTTCGCTGTTGGGAGCCTTGAAAAAGTGCCGTTTACTTCACCACTGGTTCTTGGGCGCCTCGGTGGCAACATCACCGCCGGCTCTTGGGAACCATGGCGCCACGAGCGCTCTGCGCCACTGCTCGCTCCTGGGGCCCTTGGCGCTCGAAGTCTTTTGCGTAAGCGATTCGTGTAAGCAGAGCTTTCCAGTCACCCAGTGCTCTTGGGAGCCTTGGCGTCGAAACTGCGTCGGCCATCGGGCCGTCGGGGGGGGTCCTCTGAAGGCCCCCCCCCCCGAGCAAATGACACCACAGATGAGGAAAAAGACGCGTCTCAAATGCGACCTCTTTGTTGCACCATACCGCCCAATGCAACTGAAGGCCCTTTTGGGTGTTGGGGCCGCTCCAGGGCCCTCCTGGGCCATCTTTGGAGCTTGGCGCCTGGCCCCGTCTTGGGGCATTCTTGGGGCCCTTAAGGTCCCTTTGGGACGCCTCCTCCGGCACTCTGGGGGCTCCCTCTCGGGACTCGTGAGCCGTCCTGGGGATCTCTGTGGCCATCCTGGGGCCCTCTTGGGCCGACTTGGGGCCCTCCTGGGGGCCTCCTGGCCCGCCTCGGGGCAATACTGGAAGCCCCCAGTGCTGTGCCCGAAAAGGCGAGGACCGCGGACAAAAATTCAAACCTTACGACGAAAGTTGGTGCGTGCTGCCTCCACAGGCCGTCTCGGGGGTCCTCTTGGGAGCACTGGAGGCCGTCCATGGGGGCCTTCTCGGGACGGCTTGGAAGGCGTGGGCCGTCCCGAGAAGCCCTCGTGGGGCCGGGGCCTCCGGTTGCCCTCTCGGGCCCTCTTTTTTGCTGGGCGAGGATGGACGACGCCGTGTCGAACGTGTGACGGTCCCACGCCTATGCAAGACCGCCCGGCCCGGGTGCAGAACGGGCCCGGGCCCGGCGCGCCTGGGGTCCCTGACTCCAGGTCCGCCCTACTTTGGCTTTTCTTCCAACTTAAAATTGCCTCGGAAATCCACTCATAAGAAGCCGAAAGAGTAGGGCGGAAATTTCTGCACCCAGCTTAAAATAGGGCGAAAATCCTCAGAATCAGCGGGGCTTGAAAAGTAAGGCGGGAATTCCAAGCCCTACTTACGAATTTCCCCAAAGTAGGGCGGATCCGGAGTCGGGGGTGCCGAGCCGCCCCCCGCAAGCCCCGGGCTTCTCCGGGGGCCTCGCAAAAGCACCCTGGCGGGCGTCTGGCCTGCCCGCGGAGGCTCCCGCGGGCGCTCGCCACCCTCAAAAACGAAACCCGCCGCGGCGAATCTGCGCCACGCTATATGGAGAAGGCCCGGCGGCGGAGCACCGGGAGTCTGAGTTTGAGAGTCCGCATCTGCGCCTTCTTAGTGGGCCCTGGAAACGACAGGGCCGTTTTCTTTTTAACCGGCTCCGTTTTGCCGCTCTTTTGCCGCTCCCGACGCCGTTTTTTTACCGGCTCCGTCGCCGTTTCTTGACCGGTTCTGGCTCCGGTTCCAATCCTGGAGCCGTTTTCTTGCCGTTTCCGGTCGCCGTTTTTTTCTGCCGTTTCCCTTTTCAAGGGACATTTTTTTTGGAAGCGATGAAAAAACGGCCCTGCCGTTTCCGGGGCCCACAAAGATCTACGCCGCTTGTTGCCACCTCCCGCCAGGTGGAGGGAAGGGGACTCGCAGAGTCCCACGGAAGATCACGGGCCTGAGGTGCTCGGGAAGGCCCGGGCCCATGCCAGGGCTGTTCCGGTAGCGATGCACGTTCGCCTCCAGGCCCTGCGTTTTGGACAGCTGGACGGTGCACACCTTCTGCGACGGGCGAGGCCACTTCCTGAAGCCGTCGAAGGCAAGCTTGAAGCGCGGGAGCACGTCCGCGGAGACGAGATTGACAAAGGCATATCCCATGCCCACCATGGTCTGGAAGTCGTGCGGCATGTACACCAGATTGTAGAGCCCCGCAAAGCCTGCCGCATCCATCAACTGGATCAAATCTTCGCGTAAGAAACTACATGGCAAATTGCGCAGTATAACCGTGGTGCGGTCATCGCGTTGGCTCCCCATCGCCTGCATTGGCACACTCGGGATCTCATCGTGCAGACCGGGAGGAGGGCCCAGATGTGCGGCATCGAGGGGGCCCATCTGCTGCATGGCCATATTCGGGAAACCATCTTGGTGAGGGGTCCAGCTGCGCTGCATCGAGGAGCGCACTGGGCCCAAGCAGCTCGGGACGAACGACGATGCTCCTGCGCGCAGAGTCGTGCGCTCGGTGGCAGCGCCCAGGGCCCGTGCCTCTTTCGCTGCTGGTGCCCTCACCTCGACGCCCCAAGCCGGCAAGCTCTGGCCGACCGCAGCGTCCACGGGGGAGACCATCTTCTGTTCTCCTGAGCCTGACTACCTACCAGACCACCCCAACCCAACCCGAAGACCCGAATTTCGGGTGGGGGGGGGGGGTATGGGTTCCATACGTGTTTTTGTTCGATGGCCCCCGCCCCCCCCCCACTGGAAATGGATGGCAAGTCGGGGCCTTCGGGTTGGGTTGGGGTGGGTTGGCGGGTGGGGAGAGCCGTGGCGCCCACCGAGGGGCCATCCGCCGGAGACGTCCGGCGCAGCCCCGCCCCCGCACTCGGCCGCCGTGCGCCGGCCCGCGGCCGGGCTCGGCGGGGCCCCCTCCTCCCGCGCGCGCGGGGCGCAGCCCCGGCCTGCCGGGGCGAGGCCGCGCGCGCCGCTCCCCGCCTGCCCGGGCTGCTCCTGCCCCACCGTGCCCCCCTCGCTCTCCGCGGGGGCCCGTGCGCCCGCGGAGCTGCGAGGGGTGCCCCGCGGGGCGATCGCAGGGGGCCACACGCGAACCCTGCCCCTAACCCGCACGATTTCGGAGGGGGAGGGTGGGGTTCGCTTCGTTCGGGAGCTCTCGAGCGGAGGGAACCCCACCTCCCCCTCAGAAAGCGTGGGGGGTAGGGGTAGGGTTCGCATGTGGCCCCCTATATCGGCGGCTCCTGGGCCGGCTGCGGCTGGGGCTCTGCGGCGTGGCGCGCGGTGCCGGCCTCGCGATGCACTTCGGGCGTGGCCGCGCCGACGTCGTCGGGTGCCGCGGGCAGCGCCTCGCGGGCCTCGGGCTGCGTGGCCGTGGCACGCACCGGCTCCTGGGCCTTCTGCCCGGCGTGGCACCCGCCTGCACGGGGAGTGCTCCTGGTCTGGACGACCTTCTTCATTGGAAGCGCCTCGGCGCTGCTGGCGACCGTGTGCTGACGCCGACTGGTCAGGGAACCTGCGCAGAAGGCGCTGGCCGAGAGCGCCACGAGCACGATCGTGTTCAACAGCCTCACCTCGGCGAACCAGCTCGAGCAGGAGACGAGGATGTCGACACCGACGCACACGGCGGTGAATACTCCAACATGGTATAGGTAACGATCGCGTTTCCCATGAAGGTTCGGAATCATACGGGCCCCAACATACTGTATCATTGCGCGAACGTGGCCCGCCCCAGAAGATCAGTGGATCCGTAACCTGGTAGAGGATCAGAAATGGGCTGGGTAATATATAATGTGAATGGAATCGGGTAAATACGATTGTGAATGCTCGATCTCGAATGGCGGAACCAATCACGACTTGAGCCAACATGGTTACGGCCCCCCCCTCGGGTGAGCCTCTTCGGGCCTTCTGTTGCCCCTCCTCGGGTTCTCAGTGGCTGTCTTGGGGCTCTCTTGGGCCATCTTTCGATGTGAACACTTTTGCCCAGTAGAGCAAATAATCCGCTGGCCCCCTTGTAGGGCCACAAGGCTGTAGGGCAAAGGTTTGCTGCTCCCTGCGCCAGTTGCAGGTTCCAGTTTCCGATGTGATAATTCTGCTTCTTGTTGCATTACTGTTCCTTGTTGTAGACCGCGCGAGGGGGGGGAGCCGAAAATCAGCCTGGTTAGCGTCTCCTGGGAGGGGTCTCAGAATTTTTGGGGAGTCAAAATAACTGACACCCCTCACGCAGATCGGCGGGGTTAGGGTCGAAAAACCAATGGGATTTGCCACATCTTTCAAATTCGGCTGCATCCCTCACAAAGATCGGCGGAGTCAGGGTGAAAAAAAAAACAATGGGATTTGCCACATCTCTGAAATTCGGCGGCACCCCTCACGCAGATCGGCGGAATCAGGGTCGAACAACCAATGGGATTTGTCACATTTCTAGAACTCGGCGGCACCCCTCACGCAGATCGGCGGGGTCAGGGTTGAAACATCAATGGGATTTGCAACATTTCTAAAATTCGGCGGCATCCCTCACGCAGATTGGCGGGGTCAGGGTCGAAAAACCAATGGGATTTGCAACACTTTTCAAATTCGGCGGCACCCCTCACGCAGATCGGCGGGGTCAGGGTCGAAAAACACAACGGGTTTGCCACATTTCTGAAATTCGATGGCACTCCTCACGCAGATCGGCGGGGTCAGGGTCCAAAAATACATGGGATTTGATAAATTTCTGAAATTCGGTGGCACCCCTCTTGCAGATCGGAGGGGTCAAGGTCGAAAAGCAATGGGATTTGTCACATGTCTTGAAATTCGGTGCCCCCCCCCCATCGCGCAGATCGGCAGAGTGAGGGCCAAAAAACACAAAGGATTTGCCACATCTCTGAAATTCCGTGGCACTCCTCATGCAGATCGGCGGGGTCAGGGTCGAAATGCACATGGGATTTGCCACGTGTCTTGAAATTCGGCGGCACCCCTCACGCAGATCGGTGGGGTCAGGGTCAAAAACATATGCGATTTGCAACATTGAGATACTTCGTAGAAAATAAGGTTGCACAGCATACGCGAGCAAGCTCGAAATACAACACCGAACTCAACAATATCATCAGCACCTCAAATTGTCTTGCCGGTTACTCATCGTCTTCGCGTGAAGTCCCGACTCTTCTCACGGCGGCGCCAAGGCCTCAAATTTCGGTCCTGCGTTGCCCATTGTCCGAAAGAGGGGGCCGGCGATAGGGGGCGAAGCCCTTACGGATAAAAAGGAATCGGGGGCGCGCTGTCGTCGACATGTTATCGATCCCTTCTCATGGGTAGAATCGCTTACTTGGAATCGAATGGATGGTTGAGTGAACTTCTTAACAGCATGACAACCTTAAGTTGGCCATTTCTGGTAGGCAAAACAAACTTTGGGTCAAGATGCTTAACGGCTCGCTCATCCGATATTATTGTAAAGAGCGTCGGCTAATCTAAACAGCAGGGGGGCGGCCATGGCAGTTGGAATCCGCCAAGGAATGTGTAACAACTCGCCTGCCGAATGGACTAGCCCCGAACATGGATGGCGCTCAAACGGGCGACCGATACCCAACCACTGCTGCACTTGGGTTGCACCAGCGAGTCGGAGGGCATGGGGGGTTGTGAAGAAGTTTTGGGGCAAGCCTGGGCGAGACAGCTCCTAGCGTAGATCTTGGCGGAAGAAGCACATATCTCAAATCAAAACTCCGACGTCCAGAATGGAGAAGGGCCCCACGCGAAGAGCTGTTGGACGTGGGTTCGTTGATCCTAAGAGACAGGGGTGTGCCGCGCGCGCAGGCTCTGCCTCGTCTCTCGACATGGAATGGAGTTCATATCCCCCTACATGGCAATGTAACATAATTTGATAACGCAGGGGGAGGGAGCCTTGGGAACGGTTGTCCCTTCTTTTTTGCCGCCTCTCACCCTGGAATCAGACTATCTGGAGATAGGGCTAGCTGACGGGCAGAGCACCTTGCCATTCGAGGTGCCTGGCGCGATCTCAAATGCCCGTGAAGAGAAAACGAGCAAAAGGAACGGCGCTAGGTTTAGGTCGGGCATGTCCTCCTACAGGCGGGTGTCGGACGAACAATAACAATTCTTCACACAAAACATCAATAGTCACAGATGATAGAACATCGTCCCCATCTATTTTTGACCATTTGGGAATATTCCGCATGTAAAGGGACGTGCCCGACTTAACGCTAGGGTTAAGTCGGGCCTGTCCCCCTACAGGAGGATTTTGGACGAAAAATAAAAAGCAAAAATAAACAAACGCCCAAAACATGCTCAAACGTACCCCAAAAAAATAGTCCCCATACCATTTTTTGACTACTTGGGAATACTCCTCCTGCAGGGGGGCAGGCCCGACGTAACGCTAGGGCTCCGGCAGCCTGCAAGGGATCGGCAGCTGCCAAGAGGGGGGTGCCCAAGAGGGGGGGGGTGCAAATCATGACCGTCGGCATGTGCGCGGCCCAACAGGGGGTTCTGGGATGTAATGAAATAAGAAGAGGCGCCACGAAACCTGGGGAAACACCATGGCCCCCGCCATGATATCAGCCCCCCCTATCGAGCAGGGACTGACCGTCCCGGCATTCCTATAGTCCTACCACGAAGTGTTCTTAGAACCCCCATATGTTCTAAGAACAAAAACAATGTTCTTAGAACATAAACCCCATGTGTTAAAACAAGATCACCTCCGCCAGACATGTTCTAAGAACATTTCGTGGGAACCGCAAAAGGTTCTTAGAACATTGCTTGGTAGGGCTATAGGCGAACCAGGACGCTTCGCCACTGCTTGACCCTACCCTGACTCCAAATGCGCCCTACTTTGGTTTTTTTTCCCAACTTAAAATTGCGTCGGAAATCCACCTATAAGAAGCCGAAAAAGTAGGGCGGAAATTTCTGCACCCAACATAAAATAGGGCGAACATCCACAGAAATAGGGCGGACACAACAACAGAAAAGTAAGGTGGAAATTGGTATCAGCGGGGCTTGCAAAGTAAGGCGGAAATCCCAAGCCCTACTTACGAATTTCCCAAGAAAGTAGGGCGGTTCCGGAGTCAGGGTAGCCATCACCCCGTCTCTTTGCACGCCCGAAATGGGTACTGAAAGAATGGGTACGATGCCCAACAGCAGTTCCTGTTCATTTTGAACAGGACTCGCTGTCCACGCCGCCGCGGCCTGTGTCCATTCGAGACAGAAGGCCGCCTGCCCAACAGCGGCCGCTGTTGGTTTGGGACAACATTTGCTGTTGGGCATAGTACCCATTCTTTCGGTACCCATTTCGGGCGTCCAAAATCTCTGCCGCCCCCGAAGGGAGCGCGGAGCGAGGGCCGGGCGTCGCCCGAGGGGCGCGGGCCCGCCTCTCCCTTTGGGCGCCTGCTGCTGCACGGGCGCTGCTGGGGCAGAAGGGGGGGGGGCCGTGGGGAGGAGGGGGAGGCAGAGGAGGTCGAGACTCAGACCGCGGAAGGGGGAGGAGGGAGGAGGAGGAAGGGGAACTGGGACGCGCAACTAGCAAGGCACAGATGGCCAGCTTCCCCTATATTTCCCCACATGTTCTGGGTTTCCGTCACTTTCCCCCCACTTCCCACGTTTTCCATACCTACACGACCACCCTGCGGGTGATGAGGAGGTTGGGGGGGGAGGGGGCCAGCAATGGGCAACAGTGGTGATTGTTGTTCTGATAATGAGATTTACCGATGGGACACCGACAAGACACAATCGATCTCACTGTCGATCTCACTATCCATCCCACTATCGATCCCACTCGATCAATCTCACTATCGATATCACGATCGATCTCACTATCGATCTCACTGTCGATCTTACAGTCGATTTCACTATCGATCTCACTATCGATCTCACAATCGATCTCACTATCGATCTCACTATCGATCTCACGATTGATCTCACCATCGATCTCACGACGGGACACCGACGGGACACCGCAGGACACCGACGGGACACCGACGGGACACCGACGGGACACCGGCGGGACAACGGCGGGACACCGCGCGGCCCCGAACGCTGCGTCGCCAAACATTTGGTCCGGCCGCGCCTCAGTCACAGGAGACTTTCCTCTCGCCCGCCCACGCAGGTTCGCCTCGCCCGCACGCACCGCACGCACGAATACGAAGCCGAAATGGATGTCCCAGGAGGGGGGCTCTCCGTTCCACTTCGATCTCACCCACCAACCTCCGATTTTATGGGGAATCACGCACGAACACGAAACAGAAATCGATTTCCTGGTAGGAGGGCTCTCCGTTCCACTTCGATCTCACCCCCCAGCCTCCGATTTTCTGGGGAATCGACGACTCATGTGTTTCTTCCCCTCCTGAGAAGAGGACGAGGATTGGGCATCGGGCGGACGGCGGGCGGACGGGCGGCGGGCGGGTCGGGATCCAGTCGGACTCTTGAAGGGTTCTCTCTTGCAGCGGGATGCTGCTGAGTACTGGGTGCTGTATGGGCGACGGAGGCTCTTGAGTACTGGGTGTCGCGTTGGAGACGGAGGCTGTTGAGTCCTGGGCGTGGTATTTGAGGTGGGAGCAAGGCGGGCGGGCGGGCGGGCGGGCGGGCGGCGGGCGGATGGGGATCTTAACAAGCTCCGAGGGGTTCTCTCTTGCAGCGGGGTGCTGGTGAGTACTGGGTGTTCTGTGGCAGACGGACGCTGATGAGTACTGGGTGTTGCGCGGGGGAC